CCAATCACCTCTGGTGATTCTCACGAGGGTTTAGGGTTTAGGCTTTAGGGTTTAGGGTTTAGGGTTTCAAATACTTCTAAACGTCGGAGATTGAAGTCCCCATCCTTCTGGTGGGCGGTGTCTCCCGTGTGCTCAACTTCATGAGCCGCAGAACAGCTCAAGCTGCGGTTTAGAATTTGGGGTTTAGGGTTTAGGGGGGAAAGTAATCGCAAAAGAGATGTCAATCACGACAGAATGAGAAGACGAAGAACGACGACAACAACGGTGACGACGATGACTCCACTGCAATAGCTAGACGTATAGCTGAAACAGGTTAGCAGAACAGTGGATAAATAGAAGGATCACGATCCCTCAAATATTCTTTGTGGCCACTGGCTGGGTGCTTGAAACTCTACGTTCAACATACTCTCCAGTCCCCTTAGCAGGCAAGCCAAAAAACATCCTTCGAGATCCCCGTGAACGCAATAATCCTAAGCCCTAAGCCCTAAACCCTAAACTCTAAACCCTAAACTAACCCTCAACCCTACGCCGACACCGCCAAAACAACCCTAAGAGCCTCAGTCCCTCATCCTCCCAGATACTTACGACCCCACCAGCCCCCTGACTAAGGAATACTCCGTACATCACAGCAAAGGGATTCTCCATAATGAGGCCCAGAGAACCCAATATCCCTTAATTTAATTAAGGAATATGCCTTAAACCGTAATAAGAAGGCCCCTATAGTTTTAAGGTATATTCCTTAATGAAGGGGTATTGGGTTCTCTGGGTCTTCATAATGAAGTGGCCTTGGGACGCTGGAGCCCGTGGGTACTCTCGAAGCCTAAACCCCAAAGCCTGGGTTTAGGGTTTGGGGTTTTAGGGTTTTAGGGTTTTAGGGTTTTAGGGCTTTAGGGTTTTAGGGCTTTAGGGTTTTAGGGTCTAGGGTTTAGGGTTAAGCCCTCTGGCTCATGGAGCTCGCGTAATGTAAACCGGCGAGCATTGGACCCGCTTCCCTTCATAAGGAACATAGAGGGGAAAATTTATGTAGCAGCCTTTACGGAAAGGGGCTTAACCAGTCCGGACTCGACGTTGAACCCTTAAGCCAGAAGCCCTCGCACTTCCTCAGAAAACCCGTATAAGACCCTTCACATAACTCAGGAAGCGTATGGATACAATCCTAAACCCTAAACTCTAATCCCTAAACCCTACCTTATTTTTGAGGGCGGAAGACCGCAACTGAGGGTTGATATGGAGGCTTTTGAGCTTAAATTTAAGGCTCTTTTTATGAGGGTCTGTATATGGGGCCTTTAGGGTTTAGGGTTAGGGTGTAGGATTTTCGGTTCAGGGTTCAGGGTTTAGGGTTTTCGGTTTAGGGTTTAGGGTCTTAGGCCTAGGGGTGTTGGAGTAGTTCAGGGAAGCCTGAGGAAATATTTACCAAGGCCCCTGTACAGTTGATGGTATAAATCCTGCATTACCCCATAAAAAGGAGCAGACCATAATTCCCATAGCTTAGGACCCTTGAGGTAAAGCAGGAATATCATCAACCGTATTACCCCACGATACGCTACATCAGCCGGCAGGCTGCGGACCCAAACACCTCAAAGGATGGTGGTAGTTCGCTAAAGTAGGGTGCCTTTTGGGGTCCTTTCTATACGGGTGCCGTACTATATTGTGGACCAACAAGGGGACCCTAATTTAGCGAACTACCCATGTACTGTCCTCCGAGCTTGTTGTTGACTTTTCGTCGCGTTTTGAAGTTGTAGACCTAGACCCAGGTTCAGCATCCTGAAAATTCGGGTTTAGGTTCAAGATCCCTGGGATAATTCGAAGACCATTCTTGAGTCAGACTGGCAGGAACCCCTCAAGATTGACAGCTTGCTGTGAGCCCGCTGCGGTGCGGCCCCCGCCGGAGAAAGAATTCGTCTGTGGTTGAAGGGTACGGCACGACCTCAGATAGACTGCAGACCCTAAACCCTAAACCCCTGAATCCTAAAGCCTAAACCCTTAAACCCTAAAACCCTTAAACGCTTAACCCTAGACCCTAAACGCTTGTACCGAGATGGGGGGCATCGGCTTAATATAGCTCCTTTACGGGGTTACCTCAGGAGTTCAATAAGGGGCACTGTAGGAGTTGTGCTGAGTCGGACGCGTGGTTAAATCCTAAACCCCTAAATCCTAAACCCCTAAACCCCTAAACCCTAAACCCCTAAACCCCTAAACCCTAAACCCTGAATAATTAGACTGGAAGCTTGGGGTTCTCCGTACTATGAATGTATGCACGAACCCTAAGCCCCAAGCGCAAAAGCCTAAACCCTAAACCCTAAACCGCCCCCGAAGTCTAAGCCCTACGCCCTAAATCCTAAAACGTAAATCCTGAACCCTAAACCCTAAGGATTTAAACCCTAAACCCTAAGCCCTAAACCCTAAGTCCCACACTCTAAGCCTGAAGCCCGATCGGGTTCAGGCTTCGGGGTTCTCCTTGCAGGATAAAGGGTTTAGGTTTTAAGGTTTGGGGTTTAGGGTTGATTAGGGTTTATATAGGGTTTAGGGTTCAGGGTTTAGGGTTTAGGCTTGCGGGTTTGGGGTTTAGGGTTTAGGGTTTGGGGTTTAGGGTTTAGGGTTTAGGGCCTAGGGCTGCGAAAAAAGCAGTGGCCGACTCGTGTTCCCGGGGTTCTTGTAAAGGCAATACGGTTGATGATATAAGTCCTGAATGACCCATAAGAAGGAACATACCATAATTCCCATAGTTCAGGGTCCTTAGGATTCATATCATCAACAGTACGGAACCCACGAATTTAGGGTTCATAAAGTTAAGAGTTTACGGTTTAGGGAGGGCTTTAGAGGCTGGTTTAGGGTTTAGAGTTTAGGGGTTTCGGGCTTAGGAGGGTTTAGGGTTTAGCGTTTAGAGTTTAGGGGTTTCGGGCTTAGGATGGTCGTGGAAAGCGGGCAGTTGTCGTGACTATGGGTCGATTCTATCATCCTCGCGCACACGTGCGCAGTCAAACGGCCACTCTACTGCCGGTGGACTTTATCTGCTTCCCCTGGGACATATGAAATGAGGGTTTGTCATGACTAGTATCCCTAACATTGGACCCGGAATAGCATATGAACACTCACCAAACCTCCGCGGCTGCCCCGTCTATACTCATCAAAAATCAAAACTCTCTGGACCCTGACTCCCAGAAGCCTTGGCCCTGAACCCCCAACCCCAACACCCTGAAAGACGAAAAGCCTAAACACGGAAAGTCCCCGGAACCCGCCGCATTTATGATAGCAACCATCAATCAAAGTAGTGATGGTACCCATACGATGAATGATCATAGTATTGGTGAGATGAATCCTGCATTACCTTAAGGACCCTAGACTATGGGAATTATGGTATATTCCTTATTATGGGTAACGCAGGATTTATATCATCAACCGTAGTATTGCTAACAGCACCCATAATAATCAGACCACGTAGGAGCAATATCAGGAATACCAACAGCAACACGAATAACAATACCCTAAACCCTAAACCCTATGGTAACAGTAACAACCATGACAGCGACAATGAAGGGAAGCTAGCACCACCGAGCCGACCCTACCTTTCTGTAAGGAGCTTAGAGCGGTTTAACTTAGGGCCTTATGCGTTTTAGGGTTTAGGGCTCAAGGCCCTAAACTCTAGACCCCAAACCCTAAACCCTAAACCCTAAACCCAAACCCTAAAGACTCTCTATCATTATGTATTTAAACCCCTATTACCCTTCGTCGTTTCTGATCACTTTTGATCAAATTCAACTTGTTTTTCTCATGTTCTGGCGAATCACTGGCCACCGGCCGTCGTTTCTGATCACTTTTGATCAAATTCAAATTTGTTTCTCATGTTTCGGCGAGCCGGCCGGAATTGATCACTTCTAGCTCGCCGGCCAGAATTGATCACTTTTGATCAAATCTCACGAGCGATTTGCAGCTCGCCGGTCCCGCGAAGGTCATTAAGGCTTAAAATACATAGTAAGAGAGTGTTTAGGGCCTAGGGTTTAGGGCTAAGGGTTTAGGGCTTTGGGTTTGTTTAGGGTTTAAGAACGAACTTTTTATTTTCTGATGTTGTGGGATTCAGGGGTGGGTGGGTGTTCTGTCTAGCCCTAAACCCTAAACCCCAAACCCTCAACCCTAAACCCTAAACCCTTGAGGGGTTTAGGGCTTAGGGTTTCCGGCCTAGGGTTCGACGTGAATTCATGGAGCTTTACCTACTACGAGAGGCCTTCAGTAAGGGGCCATAGGAGGGACCCCTATTAGGGTTTAGGGTTTAGGGTTTAGGGTTTTTAGGGGTGGCCTTTAAGGGACAATAGGAGGGACCCCAAATCCGCATACCCTAAATAACCCTTGTATACCCCTTATATCGTCTCATAAAGCCCCTTAATATAACCCCAAGGGTCCCTTTAAGGGTCTCTCCTTTAGTCCCTTGACTGCATCGTTAGGAAGAAGGGGCCGTTGGGGTTATGGGGCTTGGGGTTTAGGGTTGCCTGTCCTCTACAGGGGCTAAACCCTAAACCCTGAACCTAAAACTCTAAACTCTAAGGGCCTGACAAAGAACCCTAAACCCTACATAAACCCTAAACCTTAAACCCTAAACCCTAAGGGGCCTGAAAGAGAACAACCCGGGACGGCTGCCCTTGCTCCTGCCCTTCAGCTCTCCTTGCGAAACATGCTGG